GAACTAAGGATCTGTTTGAAATTGCAAAAATGCATCCTTTTGCAGATGTTCTTAAGTCATTCTGTCTTGAGTACTCTCCATTTTGCAGAGGTTGTGAGATATTAGTCTTACTGCGCAAAAAATATGCATGAATGATGACTAGATAATTATTCCCTAAGCTCAGTGACATTGTGACCTGATAATGGCTTTAGTTTTGCACTTATTCAAGTGAATAGCAACATTTATGACTCTATGGATCAACAAATGTGTAGTCTCTCCAATTTGCCTGCATTTAGACTAACCTCAGATTCTTGAAAAATTCATTATGTGTAGAAGATTGTTATGGGTCTTGACAGTAGGCCCACAGATAGCAGCAAGGCCACGGGTCACTCCTTCCAGTATTTCTAACAGCTGGCTCATTCCCTTTAGAGATCTCTCAGGTGCGGTAGAAATTCTGGGTGGTAGATGTGGGACTGATCTCTAGACTCTAGATTTCTAGTCTCTAGCCTTCATCTTAATACAGCCATGTAGAAGTGGTAGATGTCTACTCATATGGTAGGTGTAGACATCTGTCTTGTAGAAATCTATATCTGTTAGCTGAACCTTATCTTACATTTATGAATTTTTATCTCTAGAATAGGCTAACCAATATAGTGAAACCCCCATTCCTGAGAGAATAGCATCTAAAAAAGCCCAAGTCTGCATTGTTTACAGATGATTTAGCATCTCGGAGCTGGCCAAGCCTATGCTTGGCTGATGAAATGAAAGAGCATGTTTCCCATTTCTTGATTCACACTGTTGAGCTATGACAATTCATCACAGATGTATATACATTTCTGGAAGGTTCAACCTGCAATGACCATAGCTATTTATCAGTTAGAAGGGTCATCAGCAGACTCAATCAACCACTTGTGCACCATGTCTTTGAGCTGTTTCCTGGAAACTTTCTCTAAAGAAACTGGAACTTTCTGAAATGTGCAGAGAAACTTCCTCGAGCTTGATTATGTGGGAGTGTTTCAGTTAATGTAGTCCATTGAATAACCTTGAGAATTGTAGGAAAGTTTTTGCCTTTGCAGCTTGAGCTTTTATCTGAGTCAGCCGCAGGCCTAAATCTTTGTTTGCCTTAGAACAGCAGTCATTCAAAATCACTCACTGTATAAAAATCTTTTCATGTAGATGCAGTCTTTTAGCAGTGACGTTCCCTCAGCATTTTAATGGGATACAGGGGCCTCTTAAATGCAGACAGTTTTCTATTGGCAGCGTGAGGCTTCAGACAAGACAAAGCAATGTAACCTCTCAGGAAAGAATGTGGTATCAGCTCCTAGGCTGTCCTGCAGTAGACAGAGATGCTGTGGAGTGTAATGTTCATATCCAGCAGCTTGATTGAGCTCCAAATGCTAAAACATGTCCTAGAAAGGCATTTGCAGTATTAACAGCCATTAGCTCACACATGCTAGATTTACACGAGGGCATAATAACCCTTAGGAATTCTGAAACATCTGGCAAATGGGATCAGGAATGTAATTTTGGCTGGTTTTGACTAATCCATTGAGATGTGGTTCCTCTGAGTCTGCTTGTGAGGTTTGTTGTGGGTCTGGGACAACTATTGCTACCTCTTAGTGCCCAGTGCTGGGCACCGATTGGTCGTGTTAGATCACCAGGACCTCAGATATCTCTTGTTGCATCTCAATGCACTCAGTTTGCCTCACTGCTTTAATTGCTTCATAGCATCACAGCAATGCCAAGTCACTCTCAGGCAGCTACTTTCATTTTCCAAGGGATGAAACCCAAAATTGTTTCTTTTTGAAATCGCCATTTGATCACCTGTGTTGTGATCATGTTAAAGGGTGACAATAACATCTTACATAGATTCACTCTTCTCTTTCCATAGCATTTGTATCTGACCCCTAAATTAGATTTTAGGTGGAGAAGTAGACCAAAGTTAGAATATTAGTTTTCTATGAGCTTATTTCTTTAACAATTAGGATAAAGTACAGCATTGGTGTCTTCAGCCTGTGGCCGAGATCAGTTAAGATGAAGGAGAAGGTGCATTTTCCTCTCTTTTTTTCTCCAAATCTGATGCAGGTCTGAAACACTAAGATTTTGTTTACCGCACGGCCAAAAAAGAGTATCAGCCTTGCAAGGGAAAGGCTCCAGCACCTGTGGTTATCCCTTACACTCAGGTGGCTTCACAGATCATAGTGCCATTGTCCTCAAGCTTTCTACTATGATGCCTTACTGCCACAATATGATATTTTCATCATCTATCAAAGCCTCCTATGACTGTGATCATAGCTGGAGTGCACATAAATTGCACAACGATACACAGTTCCTGTCAAAAGAATATTTTAAAAGCTCTGTTCATCATCAGGGATGCCTACCTAACAAACAAAAGGCACATATGTAATTTCAAATAGTTTCAAAATATAATATTTTAACAGCTTTATGAACAAAATGCTATTGATGGAACCTGGGAGGCTTTCATATCTCCAGTTGATTAGACTGTAAAATGGCTGAATAGGGAGAGAAATCCTACTTCAAGAAGTGAAAATGATTGGCTATTAGGAAATAAAAGCGCTTTGCTGAACAGTGCTTTTATAAATATTCTGACCTTAAATATCTTTTTTTCAGCTTACCATTATCATATTTAGAAATCACTTCAAATATTCATAGAAACCATGTTAGACGTCACAATCATTAGCCCGAGATCCTCCAATTACTTTACATCAGAACTCTGTCACTCTTCTTAAAAATGAAGACATCTGAGGCCAGAGTTTATTCTGAGATGTAATTTTGTACATATCTGGCTCACGTAATTATAGAGTGATTATATATTTAAATGTACATTTCTGTCTTGCATTCTTAATATAGTTGAACTAATTACTTTAGAAAAAAAATCAATGTTATTTCTATGCATTTTAAAGCCCATTTTTCCTATATATTCTCATCACAATCCATGACTACAATAATCACCATCGATTGTATTATGGAATCTCTATTCGATTTCAACATGAAAATTTAAGTAAGTTGCAAGGATACTCTCTTTTCCATAGAAAAGAACTCCATACGAACAAGTTCACCAATAACCAGCCCACACTTCAGAAGGATTAGCAAGTAACTATGTTTGAGTGCTGGATCTGAGAATGCTAAACCATGACAAACCACGAAGATCTCTCATGCAGTGTATTAGGTAATATGAAAATATTAGGAAAAATGAAGTTCATGTTACTAAAATCTCCTGAACTTCAGGAAGTCTGTTGTACCCTTTGTTCACTTAATCAGCTAATTTAATTTTGCCTTTGGGAACCAAATTGCATTAAGTTAAAATGGCAACAAGAATTGAGAATTAAAAAGCTGTTAGACTAATTTTGTTATAACACTAATGCCAAAAATCTATTTTCTACTTTTTTCTTACATTTTACTTCTTTATATAAATTATCTGTTTATCTATTTGGCATCAGAAACATCATGCCTGCTCTAGTATAAGACTTGAGGCAAATTGTGGTTTTTTTGTTTTTGTTTTTGTTTTTTTAAAATAATGCTTTTCACAACCTTCACACTTCCTACTTGCAAAGTCCTGGAGAGTCCTACAGAATAAACAGGGTGATTTATTCCAACCTACGATAGTCCAGATCATTCCTTTGCTACAATAAAAGAAGGATGAAAGGAAATTTCGAGAAGAATCACTTGGGACTATTCCACCCACGTTATTTCTGCCTGTGTGTGTTTATGTGTCTGCCTCCTGTACTGTCACACACTAAAAGGATCTTGCTCTGCTGCTGTGGTCCGTCCACAGTGATCTGTCACAGGCTAGGAAATTATCTTTACAGTGACTCTGGCCACCATGAACTTGGTTTTCTGCAGAGAAAACATAAATCCCAAACTAGCATTTCTTCTATAAAGTCTTGGTGAGAAATGGAAGGAAAATTTATGCGCATGTCCCAGTACCAATATGCAGCCTGACTATTATCTGAGGAACAAGTACTGCTGGGGAAAGACGGTACACCGCGACAGGGCTGCACGAACACACAGAGGGCTGCAGTCACTGGTAACCAGCTGCACCAGCAAAAATTCCAATTGGATCTAAATAACAAAAATCTTCACCATGAGAGTGGTTAAGTATTGGGACAGGAGCCCACAGACGGGGAATCTCTGTCCTATAAAATTTTTTAAAGTCCCATGGATGAAGCCCTGAGCACCCTGAACCAACCATGAAGTTAGCCCTGATTTGAGCAGGAGGTTGGTGACTGGAGGTCCCTACCAAGTGAAAAGATTCTATTATTCTCTGATTGTCTTCTACAGGAGATGATAGCTGGCTTGGAAACTGAGTTTTGGAGATCTTCCTCCAAAAATGTCTCATCCATACATAGACCTGATGTGACCCTGCAAACCTTTAAGACAGTTGTTTGCAATCTTTATCAATCTGTGGACAAGAAAATATTTCCAGTAGTGGTCCAGATCTTAAAAGCAGCTTTAAATCTCTTCAGAGGAAGCTTCTTTCATTTAGTTAGTTTTCACAGATTCTTTACTAGTAGGCCACAGATGCCTACGTGCCCATATGCCATACTGAAAACTCTTGTTTTGATGGTTCTAATGAGAGCAATGTTGGATCAGACTCGACTTTGACTATTTTGCAAAATCATCCTTTCTAAAGAAATAAATTTGTACTTAGTAGTCTGTACTCTCTCTGCCTGTCTCCCTTTCCATGCACAGACTCCCCTTGAGTAAACAGCCTATACACCAAAGAACATCATATCCCATTTTTATGTAGGAGAACGCAGAGATATTTTCTCCCTTAAAATATTGTGAAATGAGAAAATTAAGCTACTTGGCATTATTAGAAAGAAAAATTACAATAAAGTTTTGTCTGAGAAGCTTATCTTTTCTTATAGAGCAGCTGTTTTACACATTAATACAGAAAGTCATGTGGAAAAACATATGCATTCATGGAGAGAGTGAGACTCAAATCTATGTCTCATTCCACTTCCCATATAAAACAACAGAGGAACCATCTTAATTACCTGTTTCCATTTTCCCATCTTGTGCTGCAGGCCCATCAGGAATTACACTCTTCACCTGGAGAAACTCATCTGGCTCATCCCCACCAATGATGGTAAATCCAAAACCCATGTTGCTTTTCTTAAGAGTTGTGCTGAGGAAAGTCCCCTTCAGCTGTGATGCATCACGGGTGAAGAGTGGTTTTTCTACATCAGTCAACACAAACAAGAAAGAAAAAAGTTCTGATCTAGTCACAACACAGTGGGGACAGCAGATAGCAATACTGGCTGACAGCAGGTGACACTGTATGAAAACCATGGAAATAAAGAGAGCAGGCATTCCAGGAAAAAAAAAATAATTGTGAGTTCTTGCATTAATGCAAAGCTTAAAATGTATTTCTTATCTATGGCAGATCAGCCATAAGTAGGGAGTTATAAATATTCTTTCATATTAGGAATACATTTAGAAGTGGATATTGTGAGGCTAAAATAATTACAACAATAAAAATGATCTCTGAGGTAATTTTAAAACCTCTTTCCTAACCTGTAAATTCAGCTTTGTCTACAAAGTCATACATTCTCCATAATTTCCCTCCCAACCGCAATAAGGAAAATATCCATCCTCTGAATATCTTATTCATTTGTTAACAAGCAGTGCTAAATATTAGGTGAGCTTTTCTCTCCAAACACGTGGGGTTTTGGCATCCAACAAGTGACACACATAACTGCTGTGCAACCTTCGCGTCCCCTCTCCGCATGCCTCGGTGTGCAGTGTGTGTGGCGGGGGGTCCCCGTGCCTCTCTCCCGTGCTGCGCTTGGTGAGGAAGGGTGGGAGGAAGGTGCAAAGGTTGTGACTTCAACTGCTCTCCTTTCTCCCGCAGCGGTGGGGCTGGGCTGGCCGGCAGCGGAGGACATACCGTGCAGCCCGCGCGTCCCGGCGGGGTCGCGCCGGCACTGGGACAGGTCATTCACACTGCGGGACCTCTTGGGAGCGGGGCGCAGGTGGGCGAATTTGGGTCTAGGTAAGGTTGATGAGGAGCTTTCTACTGTCACAAAGGAGAACAAACCTCATTCTCTGGCTATAACCTTACGTTAAAGTTTATTCGTCTACCAATACTGTTTGCTGCTTATACAGCTCATTTTAAGCACATTAATTTTTACGTTACCAAGAGGCTGTATTCTTGTAAACTCCTATAACACAGTGCTTGAGGCTTTTAACTTAATTGATGCTTGCTAGATGAGCTAGCTTAGAAACATACCAAACATCAATTAATGGTAATTTAGAGAAAGTACAATTAATTATTTCAGTGTTGCCAACCTCGGGTGCTCACAAGACAGTCGTACATTCCCAAGAATAGAATTTATTATTTTATTTAGGAAACTACTTCGGGGATCCTATTGTGCTTTCTGTTTCTCAGCCTTTAGGAAACACTAGGGTCAACTTTTATGTCTTTTCTCTGCATCTCTGAAGGTTAGAGTACTTTAGGTGGCTCATGAGTCCCACAACTCTGGAAGCTTGGACATTTAGGGGAGAAAAATGCTGGGAGATAGGTGATAACTGTGAGAATTGGCAACACTACTCTTTTAATCAGACTATGACAAAATCATTGTCACATAAACAGGAGAGCAGGATCTTTCATCTTAACTAAGATAGCTGACACGGTACTGTACCTCGGAAACCTTGGGCCTGCATAGGCTTTGTTCCAAGTTCTGCGTTGGGCATGTTATGCTGCTGTAGCTTCCTTTTTGCTTCTAGGACAGGGTTTTCAAATTGTGTTCTTCTATTTATGTGGCTGGAAAAAATTTGGTTTTGATTAAAAACTGGGTTCAGTTGGGGAAAATGATCATTTTCACAGTAGGATGCTGTATGTGACTTAGGTGTGTGTGGTTAGAGAGCAAAACCATTATGAACCCCCAATGGGCCCTCATACTCCGCACAATTTTGTTGGGGATGAGAAATGCACAATCTAGCGCATTGCATAATGAACAGCACCGAGAAGTGTCCTAACATTTCAATATGTTGAACTCTGCTACAGACAAATGGTTTTGATCTATGGGACTACATATTAAATAGCAGTACTGGTGAAGCATGCTACAATGACAGTTTTTCATGCCTTTAGCACAAGCATTGTTCTGTGCATGATTCAAAGGGTCTGAACCAGTTTTGTGCGTTATTATTGATTAGCTGTAAGTGAAATTACTTAATCACTTACAGAAAAGGTAAAACCTAGAACACAGAGTACTTTTATAACTGCAGCTTAGAAATAAATCTGCTCAGCTGTACAAAAAAATCGGATGTTGCAGAAACTAAGTCAGATGGTAGATTAGAACTACACAGATAATTATATGAAATATAAGAGAAGTTAATGTACACTTTTTTTCCTTGATGTTTTACATTTCTACAACAGGTCAGTAAGTACATCTCTCTCATTACACCACTGATTTTCTGTATTGTGTTGAGAACTGCTATCTTAACTACATACTCTCATCATATCCTTGATTTTAATTCTTTCATTTAAAGCATGCATTTTATCAATCAATGAGCATTCCTACAATCCTGTCCTGTTACAAGTTTCACATGTTTTCTGAAGAAGGCAAGAGCAATTTAGTGGGCTGTATTGAACACCACCACAAGGTAGGATCATGTTTGGATCACAACTGAGAAGAGGGACTTGTACTGCAAACATTGTTCTGGGGAAACAAATACATGTGTACAGAAGGGCAGGTTTCCAAACATGTCACTCCTTATTTGTTTTCACTGACCTACTATTTATTGAGTTCTTCTGAAAATCTAATCCCAATCATGGGCTTTAAGCACTTGTAGAGGTGACCTGGGAACTTCTGAAACTCTGAGATCCTAAAAAAGTTTGAATACCTTCAATTTATATTGAAATGACCTTTATGCCATATTAAGCACTTTTCAGGTCCCTTGGGATTCAGATCCTACCACTGCTTCAAAGAAAGTAAGTGGAATTGCTGTTAAGAAGTGAAATAGAGGAAAGGCAGCAAGTCCTATGGGAGTGCAATGTACTTGGAAAATCAGGATTTAGTGGCCAGAGCTAATGCAATGAAGAGATTTCCAGTCATATAAAGGAATATTTGATTTAATGAGAGAAAGTAAATGTGATAAATCCTGAAGTTGCTACTTTGTTAACATGGCTATAACTCATTCATGTGATTGCTAACTTACTCTAAAATTTTGATTAATAGTTTTCTTGTAAATTTTAATCTATGCTGCAGACAGAGAAAATCCCTTTCATTTCTTTCCTTCTTCTTATGGGCTGTTTAAGATTGTAGGCTTTCCTAGACTTTTGCTTTCTAGTTAGACCATGCTTTAATTGTCAAGGTCTTCAGCACCTTAGTCTACTGCAAACCTAGAAACCTATGATGGGAGGGAGACAAACTTCATCAGTTAAAAATGGAGAAAGACAATACTTACATGCATTAAACAGGGTAATTATGAACTACTAACATAAGCATGAAAAAGGTAATTTTCATGTTACCATCTGTCATGTGATGTATTTCAATATTGTAAAGGAAATGCTACTTTTGCCATTACACGAGGCAGTGATGAAACTTCACGTGAAATACTACATAACGTTCTGATCATCCATGACCAAATAAAATGAATCTATAGGAAAGATTTTACAGGAAGACCAGTGAAAAAGAGAGTCTTGTATGATAGAAGACCAAAGGAGTTTTACCTTTTTATTCAAGCCGAATTAATTCTGATATATAACTGCATTCTGTGAATACATTTTGAAGTATGTATTAATGTATTATATAATGTATTAAAGATGTCAGGATTTCAGACTTAAAATCTGTGGGCTTCTTACAATCAGAAGTGTGACATTACAAAACACCTTCCAATAGCAGATATAGAATAAAATATCTAGCTTGTTTTATATTAGCATTTGATAAGGTTGAAAACAGGGGTGCTACACAGTTGATTAATTGCTTCAACATAGGGATCATGTCTTATTTTGGAGGCTCTAAGGTATCCTGCCCTGGTCTTCAGCTGCCCTTCCAGAAGATCATGAGTTTCCCATAGCTTTTGTGGCATATTATGCAGATGTAACGGATATCCAAGATCACACTACAGATCTGCATTTAGGCCACATCTCAGCGTCACAGGAAGCCTCTTGCAGACCTAAGTTACAACTTATATGTGGTTCTGTGATATAAAAAAGATGGGATTTTAGCTAATATAGGGTGTGTCCATGGCTTAAGGACCATCAGTTCCTGTGGTACTGACATTACAGCTAGAATCTGTTTTCCACTGCCTCTCTACAGTTTCCAGGTAGAGTTTAAATTGTGGTTTAGTCCATTTACACAGAAATGTCTTTAGTAACAGCTGTCTTGAAAATGACCTTTTTGTCCTGGCACATCAGACAGGAAGACTAGCAGAAGTACTTGAAGCACCTCAAGTTGTTGGTTCAAGCTTAGTAATTCTTAGCTCCAATTTATTCCCATACTTTGAGTGTTTTATGGTAGTGTGCAGTCTCAAAAGCATAATGTGAGAATTCCAACAAATTCAAACAACTGTATTAAACCTTGTGTCCAAGATGAGTCAAATAAAAGAAAATTATATTGATAATCAGTCATTTTTATCAGTCAGCAACACTGGATTTATGCTCCTACACTGATGACATATGAAACACCTCCCTTTCATGCAATTTTAAATGCCTTACAGCTTCATGACTAAATCAGAAAAATTGCTACTGATGAGTTTACCTGAGAAAGAAGTTATTAAGTTAAGTAGTTCCCTTGAAAGGACATTCTAGCCTTTCATCTAGCTACTTCAACTGCATACAAAATAGATATTACTAACCTAGGCCTTAATAGGACAAGCCAAATGTGATTTTTAGAGATGGTTACAAATAAGTTCTTTTGTGGTTAGAATAGATTTTGGATGTGATCCAAAAATGTATTGCTCGTTGCTCATAGTATCAAATTCAGTGAGCATTTCTATCTTCACTTTTCTTCCTTTATTTTATACGATGCATATTAAATATAAAAGCCTATTCTAAAGATGAGAATCCAGTTAATTTCTCCTAGCCATTGTGGCTGCGCAGAAGAATCATGCTGCCTTTTGTTTGCTTTCTAGCCCTGGGAACCCCGAATTTCCCTCTGCAGAAAAGAAGGGGTAGTCAGTGCTGCTGTCCTCTGTTACCTCGCTGTATGCTAACTGGGGACAATCCCTCAGAGGCAGGATTTGGTTTTGGGCTGCATTTAACCGTGAAGTTGAAATACCGTCTCTTGTGTTATGAGTAGGTACTGTCACCACCAGCCAGCCTGTAAGACACAGGCACCATTCTGCACATGAGTGAACGCGGCCAGGCTAAGTTGGTTTTGTGATGGAGTTTCACATTAGATGTGCTTCAGACAACTGAAACACATTCTTAGGAAATTTATGGGCAGCAATGCCTAGTATGCAGATTTTAGTTGATGGCCAAGATCCTGAGCCCTGCCAAAATGGTAGCACATCTAAGCAAGTGCATCAGCAGATGGAGTTTAACCTATCTTCTTTTCTTAGCTATTTTAATGTATTTTTTTTCCTGGTAGTTTGTGACTCTTAACTTTCGAAATTGTTGCCTATAACACATCAAAGTAATTCTGAGGGTCACGATGCCTAAAAGATGGACATTCTGCTGCATAACTTGTTACTGCCTAACTCCTCTTTACATTCACACTTTTCAGTTACTAATACTTTTGAACGACAAAAAGACCTGAAATAAGTTTTTCTATTTGAGTAGTAACAGAGTGTTGACAGAAATTGAAAGTCAAGGAGGTATATTTTTCCAGAATAAATACCTGTATGACTAATTTAGCTGTTCTATTATGGAGACCATGTCTGGAAATTGAACTCTGTGTTGTAGTTAATCATCCTTAAAGGGGGAAATAATCTTTTGACAATTAGAATGCTGAAAGACCCAGTGCACTCTAATAACCACATTCTCTCCATAGCCCTGCACAGCGAAGTGCTGCTAGTTCTTAGTTTATAAATTAAGAGAAAATTGCATGAAAATTAACCCACGTATAGCAAACACTTCTCATTTATGTCAAATGTCTACACCTTACAAATGATGCTTGGACCTGTATAACAAGGCAAATGAAAATTTTAATAATGTCTCACACTTGCATTCATACATGATTAAGAGAGGAAGTTATACTGGAGACCTTATTTTTTAACAGAATTTGCAAATATGTTGTGATTAGTTTTTATTAACTTTACTAGCAAGACCTTTGAGGTTTTTCTTTGGGTGGTTTTTTTGTTTGTTTTTGTTTTTGTTTTTTCCTTTTTTTTTTTTTTTTTTTTTTAGCTTTTCCTTTGGTCTCAGTATATTGGAGCTGAGCATGGCTGGTCCTTGTAAGGTGAACCTGAGTCTGTCTGCCTCATTGCTCATCCTTACAAACTTCCCATGGGATACAAATATTTCAGTGAGAAGAGTACAAGCCCTTCTTTCACTGACAGTTTTAAAGGCCTTCACGTAAAGGTGGACTGGACTTGAATGTGTGAAAGTTCATAACCTAACTTTTAATGATTTACCCACTTTTATGACATAATTAAGAGAGTTTATTGTAATCTGATCTTATCTAATTAAAAATGAACTCATCTGTTGCATACTGGTAATAAAAAAGGTGTGACTGCCACTTTTTACCATGAAAAAAGGGAAAGCAATCTTTGTTTCAAACTTATTGAGCTCAGACAGCAAATTAAAA